GGCGGCTGTGTGGCAAAGTATTTTGACGAGAACGGCCAACGAGTTCCATGCGAGGGAGGACCGGTGGGTGAGTGAAGAAACAATGCTATATCCAGTGTAATGGTTGAGACAATCACAAGGGCTTTCGAAACGTGCCTCATAATTCCCCTCACAAGTGACAGGCCGAATGCAATAGAAAGGAATACTTTTGTCACACTTCATCTGAATAGCTTGTGACTTGGCCTAAGACTGAATGACTTTGGAGGGACTTGTGGTGGACTTGACCACCCATATCTGATATATCAAGCCTTACTTTTTGATTTCACCCCCTGCAGTTAATTATCAATTCCCAGCTACAGCATTTGTTTCCAGGAATATTGTATCAAATGATGTTTAAATGGCTTCAAATGGGCAACTAAACTGCATCAAATTATCTTATTCCTGATTACATCTTTAAACATTTTTGACACATTTTCAACAGACACCTTACCGGAATGTCCCGACTGGTCGCCCCCAACGTGTCTTATTGTGTTTTGTGAGCTTGCCGAGTGTGAGCGTTACCCAGATGCTGTGTGTCACACTGACTACTGTAAACCCTGCGATTTCGTATTTTATGATGATCATAACCAGAAACTGGACTGCTCCATTGAAGGTAAGGTGGATGAAATTGGTTCGTCCAAATTATTTCCCACTGAGATAGAAGTTTGTTGTTGGCTGAAATTGTTTTGGTTACAGTGGCCTTAGGTGATCTTGTTTTTTTGGACATACAGTATACACGCATAGCCTGTCAGTGAGGTCAGTAGTGCACATCTATGTACCTTGAGGGCCTGTAAGTGACCAGAAGAGAGTTCTATTTCCACTGGTCATTTAGGACCCTCTTCTGGTCACTCAGATGCCCAAAGAAGGTCCGGATGTTCAGGAGTGACTGAATTATTTCAGTCCATATTTGATTTATAACACACCTCTGTCCAAAATGTTTCATGAGAAAAACTTTTCGGTGATTTCTGACTGAACTGTTATAACACAACCATGAACTTATATGCAGCACAATAATTACAAAAAAAACCACTTCCAATTTCCAAGATCAGTTTTTGATCTTTATATATAAGCGTACTGTAAGCAGTCAAACCTTTTGGGAACAGTGCTCAATTGGGAACCATAATAAGGAAATTGCATGTTTTCGGTGCACTGATGCACATTCCATGAATTAGGTTATATCAGTAAACCCCACATGATTGTGTTTCAGCCAACAAGTACAATGACCACGAAGAGGTGTGTTAATTATGAATTTAATTGTAATACATCCCCCCCAGATTGCGCATTTTGATGAGCCGAGAGATAGTCACACGGCATTTGCTAGTTTTACTGTCTTGCTGTGTATTGCCAAAAAGTACTAGACCTGGAGTAACCAAAATACTTCAGCAACCAAAATATTGTACCTGTAGCAACCAAAATATTGTACCTGTGGCAACCAAAATACAATACCTGGAGCAACCAAAATACTGTACCTGTGGCAACCAAAATACTGTACCTGTGGCAACCAAAATACTGTACCTGTGGCAACCAAAATACTGTACCTGTGGCAACCAAAATACTGTACCTGTGGCAACCAAAATACTGTACCTGTGGCAACCAAAATACTGTACCTGTGGCAACCAAAATACTGTACCTGTGGCAACCAAAATACTGTACCTGTGGCAACCAAAATACTGTACCTGTGGCAACCAAAATACTGTACCTGTGGCAACCAAAAAAATATACCTGTGACACCTTCCCTTAATAAAGAAATCCTCCCCCGAAGCCTCCCCCTAACCAAAAGCCCCAAACCTCAAGTCCCCAAACTCAAACTTGGAAGGACTGTTCTGTTGTTAAAGCTCCACCCCCAGCCACCTGTGAGGGTGGTTACCGTGTGGGAGAGCGTTGGCAAGCAGCCTGTATGACCTGTGAGTGTTCTCCATCCCTCACCCCCGTCTGCATATCCCACGAGTGTGGACAAGCTCCACCCCTCCCTGACAGGTGTTACTGGGCCAAACAAACACCCGACGAATGTTGCCCTTCCAAAAGGGTCTGTGAAGAAGGTAAGGATTGACTTGAAGACTCAGACTCGTACAATTTACAATTTAAATGTGAAATATGGTGGAATATTTGGAAAATGACTTTTTGATAACTGTTTTTGTAATTTTAAACGTGTCTTACCGTGCCTGAAAATAAGCTGAAACGTTATAGCTCGCAGGCCTGATTAGCCATACCGGAATAAAGGCAAAAAAGGAAGACTTAATCTTGTTCAGTTGTGAGAAATTCTCAGACATGTTGTGTGCAAAAGCCTAGAAACTCAGATGGAAAGTTAACCAGAGCAACAGTTGAAATTGGTGAAAGTACCTCACAAAATGAAAAGAATGACAATCACGATTTGAAGGGGTTAAAAGTTTTGTGTATGATGTCTTTTGTCTTGCCAGCTATATCAGCCTGTCCCGACGGGTTCTCGGTTGCCCCGTCCTGCTCAGACACACTCTGTGACGCACCCTGTGAGGGTCATCCAGAGGCCACGTGCCTCATCAGTAGATGCGGCGGCTGTGTGGCTAAGTACTTTGATGAGAATGGCCAACGAGTCCAATGCGAAGGAGGACCGGTGGGTAAGTAAAGAAACAATGCTATATCCACTACTATCAGTTGAGTTCATTACTTGTCATTCCACAAGGCCCTTCCACATACAGCAAAAAAGTAGTCAAGGAAGTTTGACAGGCAAAAAGAAGGCCAATGATATACATTTAATAACAAAAATTCCAGTTGGTTTTTGACTTCATTTTGATCAAACGCCATGTATCTACAGACTAACCAAAGCCTTAAGAATGAGGAAAACAAAAATTATTAGACACGTTGTCTGTCCCGGGACAGAACTGGCTTTTTAACTTCACTGACTACCCTTGTCTATTGGATGGTATATTGCTTGTGCAAGTAGTTCATCAGAAGAATCTCCTTGTACAGACTTGGTGTGCGCATGGTGAGCCATGTGCGCACAGACTTTTGACCAATCAGAATCGATTAAACTGTCTTGTATCCAGGTGCCAGCATTGGTTGACGCAGCAGGCATTGTCACTTCTCAGTGGGCATATTATCAAATGTTAAATACACGATCAGATTACACATTGTTGAATTGGGAGACTGTCTGAGGTATTTGTCAATATTGTATATGGCTCCAAACCGGCAACTGAATCACATTAAATTATCTCATTTTCCCTAATTTTTATCTCAAAACACTTTCAAAAGAAACCTTACCGGAATGTCCCGACTGGTCGCCCCCAACATGCCTCATTGTGTTATGCGAGCTTGCCGAATGTGAGCATTACCCAGATGCTGTGTGTCACACTGACTACTGTAAACCCTGTGATGTCGTATTTTATGATGACCTTAACCAGAAACTGGACTGCTCCGTTGAAGGCAAAGTGGATGAAATTGGTAGGTCTGAATTACTGATGACTTAAGGTAGAAGTTGAGTTCAGACTACAAATATTTTAGTTGCAATGACACGGGATGTTGTGGAGAAGTAGTATACTCATGGATTGGCATTGAGGTCACTGTAGTGAACATCAATGCACACTAGTACTTGGGGTAATGTTGATTCAAGATGGCTGACTTTATCGTAAGAATCATTGTGCCATACTTTCCCTTTGTTTTTCCGGCCATTGGCACCAGTTGAGGACCCTCTCATGTCTCAGGTGTCCTTTTATTTGTCTCTGGTCTGGTTCCCCGTATTCAGAGTGTAAGGATTCCTCCAATGTCAAACATGACGAGGGCGAGACGTGGATGGAGGGATGTAATGAGTGCACATGTATGGAGACGGGCATCCCAGCATGCAGAGCTAAGACGTGTGACACTGGTGAGAATGGGACTTACTTACCTGTTCATGAATAATTAGCTGCCAGTACCTTATACCCAGCACGATATGGGGCTGAGAAATACCCCCCCCCACATGTCCAATCCCTATACACACTCTAGATAATTGTTAACCAGCACATCCCCCCCTAGAAGTGTATAAAGAATTCCTGAGATTCCGATCAAACAATGACCAACACAAAGGCGGGGGGGTACTCTCGGCCCCATATTGTGCTTCATATACAGTACCTCTTGGCTAGAAATTGCCTTTTATGTTGTGGGATTTTTGTTTTGTTTTGTAGATATTAACCCCAAACCCCAAAATTTACCCAAATCGCAACCCCCGACCTAATCCTAAACCTAAACCTGGCCCAAAACCCATTCCCAACCCCCTCCCCAGAAAAACTCACAATCCTGAATCAATCTCCCCTAAACTACAACAAATCAGAAACAAAACGTTGAAGGGGGATGTGATTTTTTTTCTCAAACCTCCACCCCCAGCCACTTGTGAGGGCGGTTACCGTGTGGGAGAGCGTTGGCAAGCAACC